AATTAAATATTTAGTTAGTGAATTAAATATTTATTTTACAAACTAAGTATTTAGATCAGACCTAAATATTTAGTTTGCAACATAAATATTTAACTATAAATTAAATATTTAGCGTGCTAACTAAATATTTATTTGGAAACTTTAACATTTATAAATGTATGAATAACATGGTGAAAATATGACTTTGAAAAAGTGAACTCTCAATTTTTTCTCTTATGATATGCTAAATAACCAAAAATATTGCTGTTAGATTATGACTGTTTGACTTTACAAATGGCACCCCATAGAAAAACACTATAGTTTGAAATGAAGTAAGAATGTAAAAACAAAAATAACATTTCTTCCCGCTTTGCTGATTTATTGAATCCTTTTTGTGGGTTTTTTGCTCATGAAAGTTAAGTTATGCTTTACTAGTGACTAACTGCAGTAAATGATGCTTTGCTGCAATTATTGTTAACAATACTAAAGTTAGATGTAATTACCACTTTTATCTGAAGAAGCGCGTCTTTATCCCGCTCCAGCTGCTGAGATCAAATTTGACAGAAACGGGGATCCGTGCCTGCAACCCGAGCAATTAATCCGCGTATTTCCAGCAGAACACGTTTGCCGAAAGATTTGTGCGATAATCACACTTTCATTTTCCTCATACTCGACTCACGTGACCAGGCGCAAATGTTCACGTAACCAACGCAATTGCGTCATGAATATGCAAATTAGAACGTTGCGACCTCTAGTAACCTCTGAGCAAGCGTCAGCAAGGCAGATCAGAACGCTTCATAGAAGCACGTGATCAAAAGCTTTGCTACGTCATACAGAGAACATCATTTCTTACTACAAGTCATTGTTGGTCAGAGCATTCGACGCGATTTTAAAATGCAATACGATATAGAAGAATACAACTGGGAGTTGAAAAACAAAATAAGCCAAACTGAGAGAGAAATTCAGAAAGTGAAAGATGAAATTTCAGCATTTAGAGAAAAATCTGCTTTTGAGTATAAAATACGAGAAGCCAAACATGCAGAAAATATGCAACAGAGAGGCTTGAAACATGATGCAGAAATGAAAATCCTCCATCAAAAGATTTCTGCTCTAAATAAACTCGTTTTAGAGAATGACAGTCGAATAGCAGCGGTCAGAAAGGAAAATGACAACCTGAGCGTTTACAGAAAATTAAAAGAAAAACGCGATTTTGACACAAAAAAGATTGAGCGACCTCCGAACAGACCTGAGACTGATAGAGAAAGGAAGATCAGCCAGTTACATAAAATGAGTCAGCTAGCTTTGAAGGACGCCTCAACACAAAGTAATGATGGAAAACAGGCTGCATTGGGAAAAGATAATGCTAGATATAATATTTTAATTCAAGAAAAGATACGTTTTTGTGAAAACATGACAGGGGAACTAAAGAAAACAGACGAGAAATTATTAAAGGTAGATGAAAAAATGGCTGAACTCAGGCACATCAGAAGGCTGCAGTAAAGTGAGGATGATTTGAAACAAGAAAGGGAAGAAGCTTTTGTGTTAAGATCTTTTAATCCAGAGACGAGAAGAATAATGAATTTATTTCCCAGGGAGGTACCGATCTCTCAACCAAAAGAGGCTGATGTAAAGAAAAAAGTTAGAGATCCAATGAGTTGGTTACGGGAATAAGAGGGTTAATCCCACAGTGGGGGTGTCATTTTTAAACACAGATGAGGGGAAAGTGTCGAAGGGGCATGCTAGCTCAGGCAAATAAACACGAGCTAAACTTTCTAGGGTCATGGGTCGGGTTGGGGTTGGGAGAGATAAGGCTGAAAGAGAGATGCTAGATCTTACCTTACTGACTTTGTCTCTGCAACACCAGGTTGGAGTAATAGACAACCCTCGCATCTCTGACTACAGAGTTAACGGATGTCAGAAGGTGGACGGGGAGACGTGTTTTCATACACAGGCTGCAAATGCTGTAATTGAGCCTGGGAGTTTACTGCGGGAACTGATCTGGTTCTGAAAGGACAGATGTTGTCCAGAGTGGAGAGGCAATACTCGTTAACCTGAGAGGTTAATGATGATAAAAGATAAATGACCCGCTCTTTCTAACACCAGCTGAAAGCTCATTCACGCAGAGTCTGCCTCTCAGGGGCCACGCCCACAGGGCCAGCCTTTCTGGATGTGGGTGGTGTGTCTCCCCATGAGCCTGGGACAACAGGTCCTTGCAAAGCGGCAGTTGCCATGGGGAACCTCACAGGAGTTGGGAGATTTCCACCAATCAATTTTTCCCCGGCCACTGTGGGATAGTTAGCATGGCTAGTTAGTTAGTTAGTTAGTTAGTTAGTTAGTTAGTTAGTTAGTTAGTTAGTTAGTTAGTTAGTTAGTTAGTTAGTTAGTTAGTTAGTAATGTGGCTCAAAAAGCTGAGTGCACCCCCACAAATGTCATCAAAATGACTGACTCAGACAATATCAGCCTCAACCCAAGATGTAGTTAGCTAGTATCTCAGTTAGTTAGTTAGTTAGTTAGTTAGTTAGTTAGTTAGTTAGTTAGTTAGTTAGTTAGTTAGTTAGTTAGTTAGTTAGTTAGTAATGTGACTCAAACAGCAGCATGCATCCCCACAAATGTTCCATCAAAATGGCCGGCTCAGCCAACATCAGCCTCAACCCAAGTTAGTGGGATGTGTATCTCCCCATGAGCCTGGGACAACAGGTCCCTGAGGAGCAGCAGGTGCCATGGGGAACCTCACAGGAGTTGGGAGATCTTCACCAACCAATTGTTCCCCGGCCACCGTGGTGCTATTAGGATCATGGACAGGCCCTGCTCCCTCACCCTGGGTAAAGTGGGGGGTATGGGGGCCTCTGGAGGGAACGCATGAAGGAGAGACCTTGGCCACTTGTGCGCAAGAGTGTCCCCCCCACCCCCACCCCCCCCCACCCCCCCCCCCCCCCCCCCCACCCACCCACCCCCCGTGGGGCGCCACGATCCTGCAGGGAGAATTTAAGTGGGCACTGAGAATTCTCTGTTGATGCAAACACATCCACGACTGCCTGACCGAACCTCATCCAGACCTGATTCACCACTTTAGGATGAAGCCTCCAATCTGCGTAGATTGGGTTGCCTCTGGATAGCAGATCTGCTCCGTAATTCAGAATTCCTGGTATATGAGTCGCTCTCAGGGACTGCAGGTTCAAACTGCTCCAAATGATCAGTTTATGTGATCATGTGTAAGCAGGGGGACCTCAGACCTCCCTATCTGTTGACACATTTTTAACACAGTGGGGAAATTCACTAGTTACAGGTGTCTTTAGGAACAGGATAAAAACACTTTATGAATTATTTAGTTGGATTAAATCCTTGGGAAATGAGTAATAAGCTGTTTTAGGAAGGTGGAGAGTAACGGGTTACGGCACTGTGTGAAACTTGGGGGGTGGGGGCGGGGGTGGGGTGGGGGTAGGGGTGGGTGGGTGGGGGGTTCCTAAGGCATCTGTTCCTCATGACCTGATGGGAATCAGCCTGTACAGACTTTCCCTCCTGATGCTTTCCAACAGCTGCTTTCCTTCATCACTTTAACAGTCAGTGAGTCACTATGATTTTCCTATATTTCACTCACATTTATGGTGGTGGCAATGTTTATGAAACTTCTGAACTGCTGTATTTGATTTCACTTTTGCATCAACAAGAGTTCAGCAGTACTAACAGCAGTCGTGTGAGCACGGGAATAACACAACAGTCTTGTGTTTCGGTTTATCGTGTGTGAAATATACACCTGAAATGATCAAATATATACAGCTACTTACAGATAAATAATTAGGTGCATTTCCTGTGCCCTCAGTGACATTAGGCCCAAGGTGAGATTATTATTAGCATAGTGATTAGAAAATAGAGCCAAAGGAACTGTTTTAACATCAGCACGCCACACCAAGCACTACAGCTTTGTCTGCTGTCTGTACAAATTATTACATTTACCTATTTATTGAATCTGAATTATGACTTCAGTTCAAACCAATATAGGGTCTTGAAATGTATTTTCACTGAGGTACTTTTAGCTGCTCAAAACACAAACCTAGAGTTATTAGGCTACTTAATAACAACGCTTCATGATTCTTTGAAATTCTTCTACACTTCTTGTCACGTTTAGGAGCAGGAGGTTAGGACCCAAGATGCAGACCCAGGATGACACGAGGCAGGAATGTTAAATAAAGAAGAATCCTTTATTTAGGATGACAAAATAAAAATCCAAAAGGGGCAGGAGGCAAAAAACCCAATAACAAAATGAAGCAGGGAAAAATCCAAAAGCTCACTTCATGAGCAGAGAACCAGAGACCAGGAGGGAGAGACAACAAACAACGCTGACATAAAACAACAATGGACCGACAAGAACAATGAGACAAGGAGGGCTTATTTAGACAGGGAGGAGCAATTAGGGAAACAGGAAGCAGGTGTATGGAGTGAGGCTGGAGGAAGGCAGGTGACAACAATTATCTGGATGGGGAAGAGAACCAGAGGAGGGCAGATAAACCTAACACTATATAAAACACAAAACTAAACCTAAAGACTAAGGGAAGGACTCACACAAACACATACACATACTGACACTCACAAACACATACACATACTGACACTCACAAACACATACACATACTGACACTCACAAACTCATACACATACAAGAGGCTGTGGCTACACCTTAAGACACACAACAGAGATGCAGACAAAGGACACATGAGGGCGCTAAGAGAACACAAAAGGAGAACCTGGAGTGGGAACTGGAGGAGCTGGGGAACAAAGGGACACAGAACATGACACTTCTATCTCTAATAACCTAGTGAATAACTTCCCTCAGTCCGTTTCTAATTATTCAATCAACTTGCAAAAGCAAAACTTCATGAAGTTATTTAATTTTTTATCTTATTGTTAAAAATCAAATGTTATTGTCCTAAAAATCTTGTCATCTTTCGACTGTAGCATTAAATGTTCTTAATAACTAGAAATGTAACATCTATAAAGCATCAAATCAAATAAATCTGACAAATAAGGGAAAAATGTCTGTGTTTATGTCCCCATCTTCACAGATTTAACAATTAGTCTTAGATACATTCAATTGTGGTGAACTGTTTATTTGCGTTTTATACAAACAATTGTCTGACATGTAAAATAGTAACATTTAAAGTTTGGATGTAAGAGGTGAAAATAAAGATTTTAAAAGTTCCAAATCTCCCAGTTGCCCCTCCACCTTCTACAGGTAAAAATTACATCTAGTTATACATTTATAAGTTGGATTTGACTGAAGATTTGTGTTTTTTTATCTGAGATTATTGTTTTTATACTTTTATTAACTGATTCAATTATGTCCTCCCACTAAAACTGACACAACCATTTCTTCAGGTCAAACACCTCCAGATCTTTTTCTGAAGACAGTAGGATAAAGACCAGTGCTGACCACTGAGCAGGAGACAGTGTCTGTAGAGAGACGTCCTGAACTCAGAGACTGTTGGATCTCCTCCACCAGACAAAGATGATTCAGTTCATTCAGACAGTAGAGCAGGTTGATGCTTGTCTCCGCAGACAGACTCTCATTGAGCTTCTTGTTGATGTGATCAACTGTTTCCTGATTGGATCTGCTTCCTGTCTTCCCCAGCAGGTCTTTTAGGAGAGTCTGATTGGCCGGCCGGGACAGACCAAGGAGAAAGCGTCCAGGTGTCCATTTGGACTCTCAAAGGCCTTGTTCACAGCACTCTGATAGAGATCATTTAGATTTGGACCGCTGAAAAGTTTAGACCACAGAGAATGTTGCTGTTTGTCTTCCATTAGATTGACACCAGAGCTGATGAAGGTCATATCGACATGCAGAGCAGCCAGAAACTCCTGAACACTCAGGTGGATGAAGCAGAAGACCTTTACCTGGTACAGTCCTGTCTCTTCTACAAAGATCTGTGTGAACACTCCTGAGTACACTGAGGCTGCTCTGATATCGATGCCACACTCTGTCAGGTCTGATTCATAGAAGATCGGGTTTCCTTTCTGCAGCTGATCAAAAGCCAGTTTTCCCAGAGACTCAATCATCTTCCTGCTCTCTGGACTCCAGTGTGGATCTGCCTCAGCTCCTCCATCATACTTGACCTTCACTTTGGCCTGAACAACCAGGAAGTGAATGTACATCTGAGTCAGGGTCTTGGGCAGCTTTCCCCCATCTTTGTTTTTAAACACCTCCTCCAGAACTGTAGCAGTGATCCAGCAGAAGACTGGGATGTGACACATGATGTGAAGGCTTCGTGATGTCTTGATGTGGAGGATAATCCTGATGGCCTGCTCCGCATCTCTGAATCTCTTCCTGAAGTACTCCTCCTTCTGTGGGTCAGTGAACCCTCTGACCTCTGTTACAATGCCAACACACTCAGAGGGGATCTGATTGGCTGCTGCGGGTCTTGTGGTTATCCAGAGGCGAGCAGAAGTTAGCAGGTTCCCCCTGATGAGGTCTGTCAGTAGAACTTCCAATGAGGAGGACTCTGTGACATCAGTCAGGATCTTACTGTGGTGGAAGTCCAGAGGAAGTCGACACTCATCCAGACCATCAGAGATGAACACGACCTGGAACTCTTCAAAGCTCCTGTTATTTTTGGTTTCAGTGAAGAAGTGATGAACAAGTTCCACCAAACTAAACTTCTTTTCTTTTAGCACTTTCAGTTCTCTGAAGGAGAACGTAAACATGAAGTGGATGTTCTGGTAGGCGTTGTCTTCAGCCCGGTCCAGAGTGAACTTCTGAGTTAAGACCGTTTTGCCAATACTAGCCACTCCCCTTGAGATCACTGTTCTAACAAGTTCGTCTCTCCCAGGTGGGAGTTTGAAGAGGTCTCGTCTGATTGTCGTTTCTAGTTTTTTTAGTTTCCTGGACGCCACTTCAATCTCTCTGATCTCATGTTCATTGTTGACCTCTCCAGTCCCTCCCTCTGTGATGTAGAGCTCAGTGTAGATCTCATTCAGATGTGTTGGGTTTCCTGCTTTAGCAATCCCCTCAAACACACACTGGAACCTCTTCTTCAGGCCAGATTTATGTTTACGTTGACTAAATGCAACACAACATAAAGTATGTCAGGGTGTATTTTATGTAAGTACACGGGAAACTTGATACTTCTGCAAATAACTTGTTTGATTAATCTTTGTACCTGTTTGCAGATGGTCAGCCAGCTGGTCCTGCTTCATTCTTTTGAGGAAGTGTTATGGGAAACTTTATGTTAATTAATTCTTGATCATGGACTCAATCAACTGAATGTAAATGTATTGTTCTATGTCTCTTTGCATGACACACACACACACACACACACACACACACACACACACACACACACACACAATCTCTCTCTCTCTCTCTCTCTCTCTCTTTTATCTCTTGGTATAAATAAACTCTGTGACCTGTTGTTTGGGGCATTTTGCCACAGTTATAACTGTTTGACGTGTCTGCTCATTGTCTCCTTCTCTCTTCACTATAGGAAATGGGTTATTGATAAACATATTGATAAAATCCATGACATTTTTTGGTCATTCAAAAGCCATAGTAAATCATCTTTACTTCCAGGTTTCCCCCTTTACCATTACCTAAAACTAAAAAACTCAAATGAAGAAAACAGTCATTGTCCAGATGGTCTAATCGATTTTTACTTTCTTTATGAAGCTCCATGGCAGCCATGACACCTAATAAAAACATGATTTCTCATGTACTTTACTGGTCTTTGTAAAACGTCATTCTCCTATAAAATGAAAACAATTGTAAAACATGAGTTTTTTAAGTATAAACAATTTAAAAAATCATGATTTATATGATTATTTTGGGATTTATCATTACTTTTTGTTGATCTTTACAATTAGTCGACTGTATTGTATGTTTCTGAGTTTGTCAGGTGTGTGTGTGTGTGTGTGTGTGTGTGTGTGTGTGTGTGTGTGTGTGTGTGTGTGTGTGTGTGTGTGTGTGTGTGTGTGTGTGTGTGTGTGTGTGTGTGTGTGTGTGTGTGTGTGTGTGTGTGTGTGTGAAAATAGTGAATGTCACCCATAAACTGAATCTTAAAGCTGCTTTCCATCAGTGGAGGAACTCACCTCCACACTTGACTCATTGATTTTGTCAGCATATTTATCGAAGCCTCAATAAAAGCTAATTATTCCATTTTTCTTTTTCAAAATTTTCCAGCCAAAAAGGAACCGTATCTATCCTGGATGACATCGGCAGCATGTTTGACGACTTGGCAGACCAACTGGATGCAATGCTCGACTGATCTTCAGCCCCCCTCCCCCTGACCCATCCCTCATGACATGTAGGTGTGTGAGAAGACGGCGCTCCCAAGACTAAATGCTGGCTCTTTGGGGAGCTCGTGTTTGAGCGTCTGGCCCTCCCATGCTAAGTGCTTCCTGAGTAGCCTTGAAGAGGGAGTCCTCTTTATCTGGTGCAGTAGCTCTGGCTCCTTCTCCTGATGCGAGGAAGCTGCTCCCACACAACCTCTGACCTCTGCAGCCCAGCGCGTTACCTCCACCCAGCCTCAGACTGCTGCGTGGACCGAGAAGCACAATAATTCATCTCTACACAAAAAAGGCTTGCTTAGACAAACTTTCGGGTGCAGTCTTATGAAGAAACTAAGCACACTAATTGTCTCAAAGGCAAGTAGACAGAGAGATGAACAAACACGTCACGCTCTGATGAGGATTTTTAAAAGCACACTGAAACACAGACCGCTCTCTTTGCGTCCGTCTCTCCTCTAAAATATCAAAAGGATTCATTTTTCCAGATTCGTCGTAGCCTCCGTTTCTCCTCTGTACGAGTGGAGGCCAGTGGTTCGCTGGACTTCCTGACCCGCATGTCGTCTCTTCTCACGTTGTTGTTGGTGCTCTTGCTGTTATTGTTGGTGTTGTTGTTTCGAGCGTGTGCGTAGTCCCTGCTTTTTGCTCATGTCAGTGTCCTCCTGCTCGTACAGTACATAGTTACGCTAAGGATCAGACCAGCTATGAATTCTTAAGACACTTGCACATAAATCAGATCGCCGGTGTTCATCTCTACACATGAAGGTTTTATGCTTGATGATAATAAGAGACCAACACTGACAAAAAGCACACATGAGGCGCACAACAGTGATTTCAAAAATATATTTCTTTACATTTCAAGGCTTTATATAGCCCATCCAATCAACATTCACACATACCGTAAATCCTCTAATGATACCCTGTATTTAATTAACTGCTAGGTATCACAGTTTGGCCGGTGTCGGAGTCGGCGGAGGTGAATAATGGCCCGTTTTTTTTTATTGTGGCCAGGTGGAATGTGGTAACAAGCAAGTACGGGGGGCGGTTGTGTCATCCGTCTCACTTTTGATTTGCCAGTGATAGACCGCGAGGGTAACTTTAACCATGGCAGGTGCGGAGACAAAGAGGAGGCGAAAATTTGATATCAAGTTCAAAGAGAACGTGCTGATTATGCTGCAGAACACTCTGGGAAGCAATAGGGGTTGTATGAACTAGTCACTAGTCGACTTCACCGCTCTATAGTGACTTTTTATGCCCGTCATCAACTAGTCGCTGTCATGTGATAATGACCGGCAAGATGCAGTCCTCGGAAAAGACAGCAGCCTGCTGTCAGAAGGTGAGGAGCTCCTGCACGTCTGGAGACAACGCGCTGTGCCAGAGCGTCGGTACTGACACCCGCCGTAAAACGGTAATTTAACCAAATTGTAACGTTTACCCTCTTGCAATTTAACCTTCCCCTCACCCCCATCCTAACCTTAACCAGCTTGTGCATGCAAAGCTCTGATTGTTGACGCGCTCCATACATCTGCGTCCTGAGCACGGCCAAAGTAACATTATCAAATTAGGTGTCGCCACCTCAAAAACTAATTTAACACGCGATCGTTCATGTCGGCTCATTTCCTTTTATGTTTTCTGTCTTTTATGCTTTTATTTGTGCCTGATGCGTTTCGCTGCTGTGGATCAGGGCGAATCACCTGTTTTGTCCTCGGTGACGCACCTCACTGATGTGGCCGGCGAGCACTCCGCTGTTTTTGCGGTCGGTAGATCTTTTAGAACTGCAGTTCAAAGGTAACTCATGAGGTGAATATATATGAACCCAGGTAGCAGTTTTTCTTTAGGATTGAGAGGAGATGCAGGAAGATAATAAACAGATACAGGACAGAAAAATAGTCAAATAAAAACAAGTTATTTTTTGTACCTGGTGGTTGCAACAAACAGACGCCAATGAAGGTAATCAGAAGTGAGGAACAGAAAATGAAATAATTATTTTAATGTTTAGAGCAGCAGGAACTCCGAGAGGCTGCAGGCGCATCAGTGAGTTTGCGGCCACTGCGCAGGGGGAGGGGGGAGAGGGCTGAAGCAGAAACTACTGTTGTTAAAAGAAATGTGTTTAACTTTGAAAATGTGGGCGCAATTTTAATTGTCAAAAACTCCAGCGAACCATTAGTTCATTTTACTCAAATAGAAATTGAGGCCTGCCTCTAAAACTGGCCCTCCTTCCAATAAAGGCCTGGAGCTTGATGAGCTTGAGTCAAATGCAGGCCCGGGCCTGTATTAGAAGATTTACGGTAGGTTTAAAACAGGCGCTCCTAAAGCGCCCTCTAGTGTTTGGTTAGTAAAATTGCCTTTAATTAACTTAACCTCCTTCTCGTCTTCCTTTTTTATCACAATTATTTCTAAATTTGGTGTTTATTCTGCAAATCTCCGTGCCTTCGTATTTATCTATTCCTTTTGTTTAACAGCTTCATGATTTCTTTGACAACGCCCCTTTGTGTCAGTGATGTCCGAGTGATTTAACCCTAAAAGTTAACCCCCAAATGTCTGCAACCTTCTGTAACTACTGCAAAGCCTTGTATGAGCTAATATAAATACATAAAATAACAAAAAAATCTGGTAAGCTGTAATAAGTTGGCTTCACTCCTCCCGACGCCCCCAGTTTTCAGTGTTTTCCCTTCATATGAGCCAAGGCGGTGGATCAGCCACCAGTTTTCATCCTAGTGAAAAGTCCACTTGTATTTTTATGCTCTTTAAAACAAAGATCTATTTGAAAGACAGATAGTTCTATGTGAATAATAACAACTATCATGATAATCAAGAGGAATCTAAATGTTGAGTTGAAATGATCTGAGCCTGTACATTTCTGTTGGAGTTCTGGATGTGTTGTGACGGCTGTTGTTCCACGGTCAGGTTTAGGTTGCGTTTCTGCTGTGACGATACACTCCTGTACAGTTGTGATCAGAATAAATGTATAAATTATACCTCGCTTTGCCTTTTTAATGCTTCATGTACGGCAATGTGCATTTTGTCTTGGGGCTGATTGGAGAACTGTAAACTAGGACTTCCTGCTACAAAAGCACATGTTAAAGGGGACGTGTTACGAATATATTTTTAAAGTTAGAACAATTTTGTGGTCTATACAAAACAGGAAAATGAAGATTTTTGCACAAAACCCCTTTAAGCAATCTCTTTTTGACATTTTCAGTACATTTAAGAACACACGCTTGCTGGATCACAGGAGACTGGGTTTCCAGGTTGCTGGAGGACTGGAGGAGCTGAGCACGGAATAGGGAGCAGGATCCGGTAAGGTAAGGTCAATATGGAGTGGACAGCCAGGGAGCGGCTGGGAGACAGCGGGACTGGTCCGGTAGGTTGCAGGACGGTGTGAAAGGTGGTGGTGGAAATCTGGAGAAGAGGCAGCTTACAAAAATCAGGCAAGCTTGGAAAAACACACAGGAACCAGCAATCTGGCTAGAAGTACGACTTGGACGATATCTACTTGGATTACTCAGTAATCAGGCTCGGGAGTCGTAGATACCAAAGTTGAGTTAATCATCCAGCGAATAAAGATGTCTCCCAGCAGCTTATATGTCCCTGGCCAGCTGATGAGCAGATGGGCTGCAGCTGGTCCACTCCTTGACACGCCCACCTGCAGGAGAAGCTCAGAGAAGGTTTAGCAGAGAGAGGAGGACTCACCCCAGACCATGACACCAAGATAACTTAAAGTGATACTTTACAACTTTTTCGTATTTTGAACTCATTTTCTTGAGCCAGCATGTGCCAAAAAGACCCTTTACATGGTGAATGAAATGTCACTCAGACCCTCAACACTCTGTGGCCAGAATACCACACTTGCAACTTCAGATTGCCGGTCAGGTCTGTTGGAGTTAGTAAAGCTGATATGCCTGGTTCTGCAGCCTAACCCCCGGGTTTCCACAGGAGCCATCAGCAGCACGTTACTGCAGCAGCACGTCTTGCTCACGTAAACTGCTGCCTGGCCCTTCCCACGAGACGCTAAGCAGCAGGGGAGCAGCTGTCACCGACAGAGCGCGAAGTCACACGAGTGACTTTGTCAGTAAACACAACAACAAGCAGGAGAAAACTACAACATGGCTCCAAAAGGTTTGTGTTTTATGTTCTGTCCGTTTTATAATTGCCAATACGGACCTGAAAAACAAAGGAGACCGCTAGCTAGGTGATAACTTCTCACGGGGCCGCACAGTTAGTAACTATTTTTAAAAGTAAAGCAACCGGAAGGCAGTACGTTTCTTTATTCTGAAAATCTCGGGAGCTTCGCTCCATTTCCGCGTCCGATTTCCTGTCTTTCCTTCCCCAAAAATGTTGAACTTGACCCGTTTCAGAGGCGTCGCGCGTAGAAAATAGAACCGGCACGTAAAGGCCGCGACATGCTGCTCCTGAGACGCGGCCGACTCACGCTGCTGACGGCTCCAGTGGAAAAGGGTCTGTTGACCACAGCGGCTCCTATCAGCAGCTATGACGTGCTGCTGCAGTAACGTGCTGCTGACGGCTCCTGTGGAAAGCCGGGGTTAAGGTGCTTTTCCAGGAACACTACTCAGGGCAACTCGGACCGATGCAGTTCAGCCCGACCACGGTTTCCAAGGGCACGCTTTGGTATTTTCTCCCCTATTTTTAGTCCCTGCTCAATTGAGGTACCTGGCAAGGCTGAGTTGGGCCGGTATCGTGATTCTGGCCGCTGATTGGCTAGGGGCTTCATGGAGCTGGCGTGGGAACAAAACTGCTTTCAGATGGGCTGACTCAAACCACGCTGTACAGAGCTGTTTTAGGCTGAGTAGTGCTCCTGGGA